TCACAAGTTAAACAAATTGTTCACCTTGATTCTCTTTAAAACGAAGAGACCCCATTACCATTACTAAATATCCCCTGCATGATTCCGCTGGAGAAGTGGGGGCGAACCAGTTTTTATCCTTTTTTGCTCCCTATTTTATTTGATTTTTGAGAGTCTTCCATCGGTAATGACCCAATTAATTAGCCGCGAGCATTCTTTGCCTAGTGGTTTCTAATCGGAGGAGAAATCAGACCAGAAAAATGCGGCTCTTTGGCCCCTTGAGTGTGGCTCTTCCACAAAATACCACCTGTGGGCGCGCACGTACAGTGCGATTGAAACTTCGTGACCCACGCGCAGAAGTCGATATTTTGTGGAAGAGCCACACTCAAGGGGCCAAAGAGCCGCATGTGGCTCGAGAGCCGCAGTTTGCCGACCACTGGGCTAGGAGTCCCAGGAGAGCCAGAGTGGGCACTTAGAGGCCTATGGGAGGTGCCTATTTACGCACTGGGGCAAAGCAGCCTGCAGGATAGCTTTATACAGACCCCGGCCTTCCATAGGCTGCCTGAGCATGCATCTTCCGGGCTCCCCATTCCAAGCCACTTCCTTCTACTTGGGGAGAGAAAGCCTCCTTCCCATTGTCCCATGATGCATTGCCCCACAGTGTGCAGAATCCCCAGGACACCCCACAAAGGCACAATTAAGAATATTGGTGTCAACAAATCTCCCTTCCATCAAGACACCTTCATTCTCACCACCTGTGATCCACCAGCAAACTCTGCCCACTCTCTCTACTGTCACGATCTGTCTAGAATTCAGCTGTATCCATCGCCTCCTCACCACTCGGGTCCAGCACCACTATCTCCTGCATGGACCAGGGCAGTCATCTCCAACCTGGTTTCCTGGTTCCAGCCTTCACCCCGTCTGTTCCCCTGACAGCAGCCAGATGGCGCCTGTGAGCTCCTGAGTCAGATCCTGTCCTTCTGCTCAAGAACCTTCCATGGCTCCCTCGTAACTCCCAACAAAAGTTTAAGTCCTCCCCACGGTTCACGAGGTCCTGATGATCTGCCCCTGATCCCCCATGACTCCTCCCTCTTTTGGCCCTTGTCACCTTCTCTGTGAAGCCTTTCCTGACAACTATATTTAAAAACCCCGACAGTGGGAAGGCTGGGGAGGGTAGGGGGGTGGGAAGGGGGGGGTAAGAGATAAAATAAAATAAAATAAAATAAAAATCCCAACTCTCTCCACTCCTAGCACTCGCTATACAGTTAATGCCTTGTTAATGCTCTATCTCCGGCAGCTAGAACAGTTCCTGGCACATGGTAAGTAGGTGCTTATCGTATATAATAAAAGCCTAATATGCTAAGTGTCCAGTTGTCCATTCAACCAATCAAAGCGTAACATGCTAATGATATGCTAAGGCCACTCAACCGCTCGCTATGATGTGCACTGACCACCAGGGGCAGACGCTTTCATCGGTAGATTAGCTTGCTGCTGGGGTCCAGCTGATCGGGACTGAGCGAGATGGGTTGGACATGCCCTGGATCCCTCCTGCGGTTCCTCCCCAGCTGGCCAACCTCCCGTGTCCCTCCCCAGCCCTGATCATGCACCAGTGGGGTCCCTCACCTGGCCTGCGCCCTCTCACATCTGGACTGAGGGACCCCCCCTCCTCCAATGCCTGAATTTCGTGCACCAGGCCTCTAATTAATATGTATTGTTCAAAAATGAGTGGGAGGGCAGAAATACCTCTTCCTAAAGCTCCACCCTGTCAAGGACCGATTCCTGCCCCCAAACCCTTGACTGGGAGGGTGCAGAGGCCGAGGAGCCTGGAGAGCATGCCAGCCAGAGCTGGGGGCACTTACATAGCTATGGACAAGTTGGCCGCGGACAGAGGACTCACTTCTGCCACCTCCTTGGCTTTTTGGAGGGCGAGTTTCTGGTTGGCTGCCTCCTCTTCTTCTTGTTCATCCTAAAAGGCATACGGGATCCCTGTTTACAAAACATGAACGGGGCCTCTGGGCCTCCTCTCTGACCCTATTGCTAATCACGGAAGACTTTGAAAATATTTACGAACAGGTTTGGCCTTGGTTTCCACCAATCAGAGCCCAGGCCTGACAATAGGAACAGATGCCTACTGCCGGTTAAGGGTACTGCTGTCCCCTATAGGCACACGCCAGATACCTAGCCATTATTAACACAGCCAGAAGGAAAGAAAAAGAAAGAAAAAGATTCCCTCCCCTTTCACAGTGGAGATTTTTCTGCACCGTCTCAAGGAGCCGGAAATTAATGCAAAGATTTTCCTCTCACTCTAATTTTCAGGCCACTTAAGCTTTCTGAACCGAGACTGGAAACACACATAACAACACTGACTAGTCCCCACGTGCAGAAAAACCTGGCATCCCAGGGCCCATCGCAGACACTGCCAACAGCCGCCGGAGGGAAATCAGGGGAGGAGCTTATATGCTCAGCTGGTCAGGTTCAAAAAGGAGGAGAATGGGGGAAGATTGTTTTTATTTGTTTTAAATCTTCACCCGAGGATATTTTCCATTGATTTTTAGAGAATGAAAGAGAGAGGGAAAGAAAGAGAAATATCGATGTGAGAGAAACACATTGATTGGGTGCCTCTTGTACACGCCCCGACCAGGGCCTGGGCTGGGGAGGAGCCTGCCACCAAGTACATGCCCTGGACCAGAATCGAACCCGGGACCCTTCAGTCCGCAGGCCGACGCTCTATCCACTGAGCCAAACCCGCTAGGGCTGGGGGAAGATGTTTTAAAAATACGCAAGAAAAAGATGTTTTGGGGCCTTAAATCCTTCTTCAGCCTTCATGCAGGGCCTCACTCATAAAACTGAAAAGCCAACAAAGAAAAAGCAATAGGAAAGAAATGGCCAGAGATGAACCCAATAGGAAAAGTCATGTGATCCCTGGGCTGGGGTCCCTGGGGCGAGAAGCAATCTTAGCACCTCAGAAATGGTCAGGTCAGGACACTGTGTCAGTGACAACACAGAGGAGGGACCCAGCCAGACCCCCAGCTCTTACAAGGCCTCCTGCCTCCTGGCACCACACCCAGCGTTTCTCAGAGCCAGGACCGTGGACCACCTACCTCAGAAACACTGCAAATACAGTTTCCCAGGCCCCGCAAGAACCTGGGCTGGGTCTAACCTGCATCCTCAACAAGCTCCCAGGTGAGTATGAGACATGCTCACGTTTAAGCACCAGTGCGTGTGGTCATGAGCACACATTCTAGATCAGGGGTCCTCAAACTTTTAAAATAGGGGGCCAATTCACTGTCCCTCAGACCGTTGGAGGGCCGGACTATAGTTTAAAAAAAAACTATGAACAAATTCCTATGCACACTGCACATATCTTATTTTGAAGTAAAAATACAAAATGGGAACAAATACAATATTTGTATTTGCATGTGGTCCGCGGGCCGTAGTTTGAGGACCCCTGTTCTAGACCTACTTGGACTCACATCCCAGTTCCACTACTTACTGCTGCGTGACCTTGGGCAAGTCACTGAACCTCTCCACGCCTCATAATCCTCATTCAAAATTTCAGCTCTCTCTTTCTCTACTTCACTTTTTTCCTTGGCCCTTAGCGCCACCTGACAGTTTTATTCCTTGTCTGTCTCTCTCACTCAAATATCAGCGCCACGAGGGCAGGGATTTCTGTGTATTTTGTTTATGGCTGCGTCCCTGGTTCCTGGACCAGGCCTTGCTCACAGTAGGTCCTCAATAAATGCTTTAGAATGAGTGACAAAAGCCGTAAAGTGGGGATGTGAGCAGGTGCCTCCCGGGGTTTCTGTGCAGATTAAATGAGCTAAAAACACATCAGGGGCTTGTGGGGTGCCTGCCACAGGTTAAATGCTAAGATACGCTTATGGAATAAATGAAGAATGTGTGTCTGGAGGAGAAGGTCCGCACCTCACAGGCGAGGAGCTTGCCTTTCTCCCTCCCCTCTGCCCCCCCTCCTGGCGTCCCCTCTCCGCAATGACTTGGATGAGCTCACGGCTGGATCGGTCCCCAGAGCAGCCATGCCAGCCGGCTCCACGGTGGCCAGGCCCATGGCCGTGTGTTTCGGGGGGTGGAAACTTCCGCCCCCCCCTTCCCCCAGTCGGAGCCGGGCCTGGGAAACTCTCTCTCCCTCCTGCCAGGCTCGGCAGATGGAGGGTTGGCAACGTCTGCTCAGTTCGGTTCCGTTCCATGAACACATCCTGAACACCTCGAGGCTCTGGGGCCACAAAGCCGTGGGACGCCCAGGCCTGGCCCTCCCGGGCTGGGAGGAAGACTCAGCGCACGTTCTCTCCATATGACAGGGCTGCTGGTGAGAAGTTAGGGCGGAGGCTGTAGCTCCTAAAAGCCTTTGTTCCTGGCTCGCCCCCCTCAAACTGCCCAAAGGTACTCAGCTTACCTCGTGCAGTGCACAGCCACCCCCGAGGCCCTGCGGTGGGCATTCCTAGGGGTGTGAGCGGTGTCACTGAGGGCAACGTTGCTTCCTCTGGCCTGTGTGAGGTGGGCCCCAAAGGGGGCATCCGGCACCAGGTGCTGCCCAGATGACTCATTAGCGCTGACCACGAATAAAACCGGGCTTCTCCTCACCTGGACGGTTCTCACCCCAACCTCCCAAATTCTCTTTTGACCTCCTATCTTCTGCTCTTTGAGGGGTCACTTCTCTACTTGTTCAGTTCCCAACGATGTGGCAATGCCCCTTAGCCTTTCTGGGTCTCAGTTTCCTCATCTGTGAAATGGGGAGAGCAGTCACCCCCCATCTGTTATGTTGGCTGGTGCCCAGCATTAAAGGGCCATTAGACCTTTCTGTGGTTGTTACTTTTATCATTACCTGCCCAGCTGGACTCAAATGGAAGGAGCAGGGTATGTGAATCAAGAACATGGGTTCTGGAGCTTGCCGGGGCCGGGTTCGAATCCCAGCCTTCCCTTACTGGGTCTATAAAATGAGAGTTCGAGGCCCAGGGCCTGGCTCCTGCTCAGTGACTGCCAGAGGCTCCTATATGGAGCACTTGATTGTACCAAGCACTGTGCCGAGCACCTGACACGCACAGGGTGGTGCTATGGACAGTAGGTGCTCTTTTCATGCCAGCTGGGGCTGGGAACTTTGTCTTTCTGAGCCTCAGTTTCTCCTTCTGCAAAAAGGCGATAACAGCAATGCCTGGCACCATGACCATCAGAGAGAAAAACAGCGATTGGCTGCCTCCTGCATGCCCCCGACTGGGGATTAAACCTGCAACCTGGGCATGGGCCTGGACCAGGAATCGAACCAGGAACCTGTTAGGGCCTGGGACAACGCCCAACCAACTGAGCCACATCATCCAGGGCCAGAATCCTTCATTGCTACCGGTCAGCGGTGAGGGCCGGCCAGCTCCCAAGCTCACGGGGATGGACATCAAGCCCCAAGACCCTGTGTGGGTTATTCTCCATCTGGCCTGTCCTTTTAGGTCTAGAGTGAGCGCCCTCGAGCCTGGGGCTGCATCATCCCTTGGAGGTCCTCTGACACCGCCCGCTGCCTGTCCAACAGTTTGCCATCTGTTTCCTGTAACCCAGTGCCTCACCCCCTCCCACCCCCTTTGCTGTAGAATCCACTTAACTAGGGACCGTCTGCTTGAGGGGGGAGGAGGTGCCTTCTCCCTGGCACGGTGCCTCCAGGGCAAAAGCTCTGACCCTGTCCCCGTCCCCACATGCCCAGCACGGTCCCGATCTGTCACGAACGGGTGGTAACTTTGCCAGAGAAACATTCTCCCACCAACGGCACCTTGGTGAGCTCCTGGGCGTTGGCCAAATTATCCACCGCGATGGCCAAGAACACATTCAGGAGGGTGTCTGCGGACGCCAGAGTCAGGGAAAGCAACGCCGCTGCGACCCTGGGCATCGGGGTCTCCCGGTCCCCTCCCTCGCGCCCCCATCGAGGCGTGTCCCCCCGCGCCCCCGCGGAGGATACAGTTCCCGAAGAGTGTCAGCACGATGAAGTAGATGGAGAACACCATGCCGCCTTGCACGCCGCCCTGAGATTTGATGCCATCGTACATGACCTCGTTCCAGTCCTCGCCTGTCAGGATCTGAAAGGGAGGGAGGGACACACAGCCAACCCCCCTCTCAGCCACGGGCCCCTCGGAGACGCAGCTGTGGGGCCCCAACCTGCCTGTCCCTGCAGTGAAGGGCTCCCAGCCCAGCTTCTAGGAGGAGGGGACCCTGGGGAAGTCACCAACCTTTGTAACTCTGTCTTCCCTGAGGTAATAAGGGGGTTTGATAGGGACTGAGCCCTGTCCCCTAAATTAATATGTTGAAGCTCTAAGCCTTCATGAGATGATATTTGGAAAAGGTAGGTCATCAAGGTTAATGAGGCCATGAGGGTGGGGCCCTCATGATGAGATTAGTGCCTTTGTAAGAAGAGCTTGGGCATTCTCTCTGTCTCGCTCGCTCTCTCCCCACATGTGAGGACACATCGAGAAGACCCGCCTGCTGGCCAGGAAAAGAGTCCTCACCGGGAACCACCCCTGTGGACATCCTGACCATGACTTTTAGCCTCCAGAAGTGTGACCACCCTGACCATGACTTTTAGCTTCCAGAAGTGTGAGAAATAAGTTTCTGTTAAGTAACATCTTCACTGGTCCTCTGGCTGCTGTGCCTGGGCAGGCGGGTGCTGGTGGCCAGAGCAGGCTTTGCCAGCAGGTGCTGGCAACAGAAACTGGGCTGATGCTTATGGAGTGACTGAGAGGAAGGTAGGTGGTGTCCACGTACTTGTTAAAACAATGCCACTCGCTTCCTTCATGATATTTCCATGAGGATCAAGTAAATGTGAAAGAACTCCAGACACGCTAACCTGCTCACCACGCAGGGTTTCTCGGCCTCGGCACTGCTGCCCTTTGGGACGGGGTCGTTCTCGGGGGTGGGGCACCCTGTGCTGTGGGTGTTGAGCAGCAGCCCTGGCCTCCTCCCACCAGGTGCCAATAACACCCAACTCCCCCATTCGGGGTTACAACCCAAACTGTTTCCAGATACTTCCAAGTGGCATGGGGGCCAGAGCTGCTCCTGGGCCAGGACCCTGTGCTGAGGACCTGTGGGTGGTGGTGACTACGATGGAATCATTAATGTGAGGGCTCAGAACTCTGCTACATGGGGTCCTCTTTCCAACCCCCGTCTAAGTCCCACTTTCCATAACCGTCTGCCCTCCAAAGAGACAGAACCACTTGAAAGGCTCCGGAGGTCCCAGCGGGGCCCGTCCCAATCCTCAGATCATGCGCCCACAGGGGCACAGACGCCGGTTTGGGGAGACCGCCCAAGGTCAATGTCTTTGCTCTGGAATAGGGGAGGGGTGTCTTGCAGTTCTGGGAGAGGGTGGGTGTGTCTTTTCTGTATTCTGATGCTTTGACATCTGGCTAAATCCTAGGGATAGTGAACAACTGGCCCCCAAACATACTTTTCAAATACAAACCAGGGCCCACACTCCCACCACCTCCCCCATCAGGCTCTCACCCCCCAGGCCAGCATTCTCTGCCCGAATCACTCCAGGGCCAGGTACCAGACCACTGGTCAGCCTCTATGCCCCAGAGCCCGCCGAAATTATTCAAACGAGCCAATCCTCAACCGGCTCATCCTCCCCCACTCCTTCCCGGGGAAACCCCAATAAAGGCTCCTGCCCACGGTCCCCCTCCCTCTGCTCTGGATTCTGGTGCTTTCCTGTGGCCCTGATGGCGCGGGGCTGGGTTAGGGTTGTACCTGAAACACCGTCATTATTGCTGCTGGAAAAGTGTCGAAGTTGGTAGGAGGAGTCCCTTCATCGAAATTAAACCTGTGGGGGAAACGCAGACATTTCCCGTTGGCCCTGCCCCAGGTGCCGTGAGGGCGTAGTTTAGCATCTTGTTTCCAGGGCAACATCTTCACGTCTCCGTCCCCCAGAAGGACATCTGAGTGGTACCCAGGACCCTGCCTGTCTGGGTGCGTGCACAGGGCGTCCGGGCCGCGAGAAGGGCAGTCGGCGTGAGGGCGGTCTCTGGAGGCACCGAGTTTGGCGTGTGGGGGCTGAAGGGGCCCCTGGGTCAGACCCCAGAGAAGCAGAAGTCGGAGAAGTTGCCGAGCACTTACTGGCCGCCAAAGAGCTGCATTCCTAAAAGTGCAAAGACGACGATAAACAGGAAAAGGAGGAACAACAGGCTGATGATGGATTTCATGGAGTTGAGAAGAGAGACGACCAGATTCCTGAGAGACGCCCAGTACCTGCCAACAGAGGCCGGGGGTGGGGGTGGGCGTTAGGCTGGGCCTGGGTGGCGGCCGCTGAGCCCACCTTCCCAACATGCTGGAGGTGCCCCATCCCTCCTGGCCCCAATGCCCATCCCCCCCCCAAAGACTTACTTTGTGACTTTGAAAATACGCAATAACCTGAGGGCTCGTAACACGCTGATTCCAAAGGATGTACCAGGTTTTATGACGGCCCAGATGACCTCAAAGATGCTCCCGATGATAACCTAGGACACAGGATCGGCTCTGGTGCCCAGAGTCCTTGCAAACACAGCCTGGGCCCGAACCTCGCAGGAACCCACCCCAACTCCCACCTTCAAACGCCAGCAGGGTGCGGCGCTCAGACCCCTCTCGTCCCTTCTCTGTTCTTATTTATTAAGAGCTGGTGAGAGCACAGAATCCCAGAAACACGTAATTACAGAGCGAGTGCCTGCGTAGCTACCACCCGCGTAAGGAACAGGACATGTCAGCACCCTGGGAGCCTCTGGGGACCCCTCGGACTTAACCACTGTCCTGAATTCTGTAGCAACTATTTCCTAGATTTAAAAAAGGTTGAGGTGAAATTCACAGCACATAAAGTTAACCATTTTAAGGGCACAATTCAGTGGCAACATTCATTTGCAATGTTGTATGATCGTCATCTCTATCTAGTTCCAGAATATTTCTGTCACCCTCAAAGCAGACCATGTCCCTACGCGCAGTCACTCTCCATCCCCACCCCCAGCCCCTGGCAGCCACTGATCTGCTTCCTGTCTGTGGATTTGCCGCTTCTGCACCTTTCATGCAGATGTCATGATGCCATACGTGATCTTCTGTGTCCAGCTTATCGTTATTCCGCTCATCGTAATGTTTCTGAGGTCTTGCCTTTTTAAAGTATTCGAGTATCACCGTTAACCAATACAGCTTAGTTTTGTCCACCTGAACTGTGATGAGCAGAACAGCACACGCGGTACGGTCTGCTTTTGTCACTGTCTGCCTCCTTTTGTGCAGTATCGTAAAGCCGGTGGGTGTAGGTGTGGTGGGCGGCCTTTCATTGCTGCAGAGAATTCCATTACATGGCTACGCCGCCACCTATCTATTCTACTGCAAAGAGATATTTGGGTCATTTGGTTCGGGACTACTGTAAGCAAGGCCGCTCAGATCGTTCTGGTATGTGTCTCCCGGGCATGAGTTTCTCGAGGGTGAATCCCTAGCCCTGGCCAGGTCACCCCCACTTTCCAAAGAGGGTCCACATATTGGCTCTCCCACTGTCAGTGGCTGACAGCGCTGGGTGCCTGCATCCAATGTTTGAGCTGGTCCTCGCATTCCTATTGCATTCAGCTGAGCCTCTCCTACCCAGGGGGACCCTGCTCCCCCTTTCTGGTGTCCCCAACTCTCAGCATCATGCTGGGTAAGAGTCGCAGAAATAAACTCCGTGGAAACCAGGGCACTTACCCCACAGTCAAAGCAGTTGAAGGAAGAGTGGAAATAAGGCCGTGTTCCAAGCCCGTACATTTTTATAAACATTTCGGACATAAAGAGTCCTAAGAAAATGAATTCTGCATAGTCTACAAGGGCGAGGGGGAAACAGAGAGAAGGTTAGTGCTGTTGAGGGGGTTACCAAGTCTGACTTTCCTGTTAACCCCCATCCTGTCCCTTGCCTGGCCTGGCAGAAAGGGAGAGGGAGGATGGTCTTTAGTGGCCGTGGCTGAAGGTTATTCGAGGCTTCCTTTCCACGAAACTCAGTTTCCCCTCTGTTAATGGGGAGGAGTGACAATTATTCCCCGCCCCCAACCAACCCCAGGCCAATCTTAAGAGGAGCAAGATAAACGTCAAGGGGTCATCATCTTTCAATTGTTACTTTGGTTCGATGAGAAGGGCTGGATGTAGATTATTGCCAAGACCTTAGGTTTTGTGTTGAGTGGTGGGTTCCTGGGAGCTTACTACATTTTAAAAACTAACGAACAAATCAATGAATGAACTAACTAACTGGCTAGCTAACGAAATAACAATGGCCGGCCCTATGATGCCAGTGTGTCCTAATCTAAAAATTATGATTAATCCACTTTTTTCCCTTTGTTAATGCTCATGGAAGGGTATTTTTTTCCACTGATTTTTAGAGAGAGTGTAAGGGAGGGCAGGACGGAGGGGGAAGGGAGAGAGAGAAAGAGAGAAACATCGATGTGAGAGAGACACACCCATCGGTTGCCTCCCACACATGCCCCAACCAGGGTCAGGGATGGAACGTTCAACCCAGGTACGCGACCTTGACTGAGAACCAAGCCAGTGCCCTTTGGTGCTCGGACCGATGCTCTAACCACTGAGAACTCCACCCAGGGCTGATGAACCCACTTTTATATGCCTGAGCTCCAAAGGAAAAATAGAAACAGAAAGCACAACGGTGTCCTATTTGTAAGTCCCTTGTGTTAGAGGTTGAGTTGGAGCATCACAGGGAACCAATCGAAGGCACAGTTTTTCTTCCAACTTGGAAAACCTCTCTGATGCCCCCTGGAAGTCCGGTCTTGCTGATGTCTAAAAGTCTCGAGCAAGAATTTTGTTGAAAGCCTTTTGTTCTTGCACGAGAAAGCATAACAGTGCAAATGCCTCCGGGAGAGACAACACGTGGGTATTTTTTTGCAAAGAATTGTCTAGCATGAGGTCTTTTTCTGAGAGGGCTTGTTAGTGAGGGAGGGCACAGGTACTCACTAATGGATGGAAGAGAGAGGTAAGGAGCACTTCTGAGGGGAAGAAAGCATACAGAAAGGGAAGATAGGGGACTCACACTTCCAAGAATTTCAATTTGAGTCACAAAGCTAATGCTGTTTGAAGGTCAAGGATGCTTGTTATATTATTCGTTGAAGAGATGGCCTGAACTGATTGTCAAGGTCCTGCCCACTCATTTCTATCAAAACATCCCCTTCGTTTCCAGGACTCCAGAGAGCTCCCAGTGTCGGAGGGGGATTTTAGAGTCTCCAGCACCTCCAGGCCCGAAATGTCAGGGAGGGAAATCTGTCTATAACATCTGGTGCATTCCAAGAACCACCAGAGTTTCCAAGAAGCTTGTTCCCCAGTTACCATGGAAACAGGACAGCCAGCGATGCACAGAACCTGAGAGAATTGTCCATGGCATTGGTGGGTCTGGAAGAAACCTCTTCCACCAAGTACAGACGAGGAATTTGAGACTCAGAGAAACTCCTATACTTCACTGATTCTAAGACATACATTTTTTGGTCACATTCTGACATTTCTGGAATTGGAGTGTATATGAAAATCGGCATGGCCTAGTTTAAACAGCAGTTCTGTTTTCTTTTTTAGTGGCACATAAACTGAGAGTGCCTCCTAATGGAAGACGCCTGCAATTAATGGATATGTTAACGCCTCGTTCAGGTCACAGGGCAAAGTAGGGGCAGGCATTGAGGACCAAGGTCACCTGGTGGCCAGGACAGGGATCTGTTATCAGACACAGCTTGGAGTCTGGGTTCAAATCTCGACTTCATCATGAACTAGCTGGGTGACCCTAAGAAAATTACTTAACTTCTCTGTGTCTCACTTTTCGCAACTGGGGATAATTAAAGGACCTTGACAGGCACAGAGGCCCAGGGCAGAACCTGCTCTTCCTGAACCAGGACAGGCAGAGCAGGGTGATTAGTGGGGAGAATTTGGGAGATTAAAAATAGACTACCAGCGGAGGTTAAGACTAGAAGTAGAGAGTCCTCATTTGTAAGCAACTCCAGGGGGACCAAATGCAATTACTAAGGTTGGAACTAGGTCAGGGCTCTTGGAAGGAGACCTGGCCCCTGGGGGGTGTCCTGGGAGGGTCAGCCAATGTGACTGGAAACAATGAGGGTTACAAGGAGACAGTGACCTGGACCAGGCTCCCAGGCCTCTCTAGGCTGAAGATCCGACTGTCTCCAGTGGCTGTCTGGGTCAGTTCTGAACAATGTCAGAAGGGCAGAGAATCCACAGACCTAAGTCAGACAAGCCAGTAAATGCAGGAGGAGGACAGTCAGAAGGCAACATGATTTTGGTTAAGTCCTCACTCAGGGGCCACAGCCAGATCCAGGGCATCCACTTGCCTTCCTCACTGCCCAGCCACTGCTCTTGTTGATTCCTCAAAGCTCTTTATTTTAATTTTTTTTTTTATTGATTTCATAGACGAAGGGAGAGGGAGAGATAGAAACATCAATGATGGGAGAGAATCGCTCCCATCATTGCCTCCTGCACATCCCCTACATGGGATTGAGCAAAACCTGGGCATGTGCCCTGACTGGGAATCAAACCATGACCTCTTGGTTCATAGGTCGATGCTCAACCACTGAGTCACACTGGCCGGGCTCTTTACTTTTTAAATCTTGGTCAGAGGTCTACCTTTCACTGCTTCTCCTCAACTCTACCTGGCCATCAACTTTGTTATTATTTCTGCTAATTCCTAGAATATGGGAATAAGCCCAGAAGGGCAAAGCCTTGGGGGTCCTGGTACCCACTGAGGGAGCAAGATGCTCTTACATTTGCTGGAGGGGATCTTCGAGGGATGAATCCCAAATACAAGGAAGTCAAACAGAGCAGGAGAGGAAAGGGGAAAGAAGCAGAAGGTGTGGTAGAAGAGGGGAGAAGCAGAAGTCAGATATAAGCAGATAAAATGGGACCACTTTTTGGCCCTAAGGCACCCCCATCTCTCAACCACAAATTATTTATTTTAACATTCCCAGAGAGGCATGTGTGTTTCTATCTCTATCTGCCTTTCTTGCAGTCTCTGCCTCTCTGTCTCCCTTCTAATACCTTCTGCACTAGCACTCCCATGTCTCTCTCTTAGAAAGGGGTGGTGGCCTGAATTCGAGCTTCCAGCTCTCAGGCCCAAAGAAGTTGGGCCCGTCACTGTGGCAGCAGCAACATCAGCATCAATCCCAGTTGTAGACGTGGCCAAATGAAAAGGCAGATTCACCAAGGACCAAAGAGGGAACACACAGTGCTAGAGAAAGAGAACTGGAAAGAAAAGGTGTGAGGCAGGGGTCAGGGCGCGGGCAGGGGCGGGGCCAGGCGGTACTCACAGAGGAAGTCGGAGAGCCACTCGGGCTGGTTGTAGTGAACGATAGCAACACACAGCGTGTTGAGGGCTACCAGACTGAGCACAGTCCAGTAGAAGGCCTGAGTTTTGACCATGCGGCGGATGTAGAAACGCACCCTCCTCTCCTTTTTGTGAAAAAAAGTCGAGTTCTCCAGCTTGGCACTTTTAATGCTGGCTCGGGCAAAGGGAGACCCTGCCAGGGAAAGGATGGAGAATGTCAGGGCGTTCCTGTGGAGGAAAGCAACTGTGTGACTCAGGCACGGATTGTGGCCAGGGGATCCATTAGCCTCCCCAGCAAGCACTCTGGCCTTGCACGTCATGACCCAAGGGCCGAGCTTTCCAGAGATGGAGCTGACGAGGAGCTGTCCCTGAAAGTCATGGTACTGGAAATGACCAATGAGGACTCAGGGTATCAGTGAGGAGGCTGACGGCTCTCGCTGCCAGAGCTAACCCTCGGTGTCTCTCCATCTTGGTGAGGTCTGATGACTGTGGGCGTCGTGCCATGGGGCAGGATGAGGCAGGAGCCGCGGCTCAGGATCCGCCAGTGCAGGGGTAGAAAGCGGAGCCACAGGGAGCATGCTTGGAAAGCCTCCAGGAGGAGGCGTGAATAGGACCCTGGTTTTCCATGGACATTTCATTTTAGAAATGATCACTGAGTAATGAACCAGCTGTGCCTCTGCCTGCACATGGTTTTGCTCTTAAGCATTTACGAAGCGCCTACTATGTGCCAGGCTCTGTTCCAGGCGCGCTGAATACTCTAGTTAACAGACAGAGCCTTGCCTTCCTGGGACTGACGCTCCAGTGGGGAGATATACAGGGAAGATAACATAATAAATTAGTTAATAGTGTAATGGAAGGTGAAAAGTCTTTTTGGAAAAGTAAATAGTAGAGTAGAATAAGGGGATTGGGAGCCCCAGGAGGGCCCACAGGGCAGGCTGCCGTATTAAATCAAGTGGTCCAGGTGAAAGTATTGACCTATATCACTTTAGTATCTTAGGCTGCGTTAACAGCATGTGCAAAGGTCCTGAGGCAGGAATGTACATGCCTGTCATATTTAGGGAACAGCATACGGAGGCCAGAATGGCTGGAGTGGAGGAAAGAAGGAGGCGAGGGCAGGTAGATGACAAGGCAGGTTGTGAAGGGCCTTGTGTGCTGAGGGAGGACTTTGGCTTTTGCTCTGAGGTGAGAGCCATGGAGGGTTCTGAGCAGAGGAGGGACGTGCCCTGACACAGGTGCTCACAGGCGCCCTCTGGCTGCTGTGGGAGGAACAGACTGTGGAGAGCATGGATAGGACCAGGGAGGAGGCTACTGCACTAGTCCAAGCAAATGATGATGGGGGTTGGACTCTGTCATGACTGAGAAGAATGAAGAGCAGGTAGATTTGTGATATATTATTTAAGGTAGATCTCAACGGATTGTGGATCAGTGTGGGTGTGAGAGAAAGGGAGGAGCCAGGTTTTTGGCTTGAGCACCTAGAGGAAGAGCTACCATCCATTGAGAGAGGCAGGTTTGCCAGGGGGTGGGGTGGAGCTCAGTTTTGGATGTTGGTTTTCTCTTCTAAAATGCCTCTTCTTGAAAACCTTCAATTTGCATTCATTTGTTTATTTGTGCTTCATTGGTTTATTCATTCATTTATTCATTTTGTTCATTCATTAGTGCACTTATTTGTTCATTTATTCATTCCTTAGTTCATTTATCAGTGCATTTATTTATTCATTCATTAGTGGGCACCTCTGCTCATTCATTCACCCATCTGTTCATTTGTGCATTCATTCATTCCCTCATTTATTCACTCATCTAGCCACCCATTATTATCTGTTCATTCATGCATTCCTTCCTTTGTCCATTCACCTGTCCATCCACCCAGCGTGTTCATCAACCCCATCCCACCAGCCAGGCATGGGCACAGCTAACATCTTGTAGGATGCCGCCTCCTATTGGAAAATTCTAAACAGAGGTTGCGAGTTGGCACCCCTGGGACCATACTGGTTTATCCTGAGTTTGTGAAAGTTGAAATTATTGGTCCACATTTAAAAAATCAGCTTCTCATGAAAGGAGATGATAGCTGACCTTTATTGTACATTCAGGAGGCACCAGGCAGGCGGGACACATTTTACATGAGCCTGCTCGCTCCTCATTGCAACCACAGGAAGTAGGGACTATCATTACCCCACTTTACAGCCAAGGAAACGGAGGCCGAGAGGGGTCTGCTGACTGTTAAGAAGTACTGAGTTGGCTCAGAGCCGTGTTCTCGGCCACCACACTGCACTCACTCCTAGAACATATGACCACCGGGTGGGGCCGCCTTCCCACCTGGCAGCCGCTGGCCAGACCCCGGGCTGCTCTCCCCTCGGGCCCCTCACCTGCCTCACTCCACAGGACTTGAGAGCTCAGGGAAGCTCCACATGGCCCTGCCCAGTTGGGGTATTTCTGGTCCCTGCTGCTCCCAAAGATGGGTCAGACTCACAGGCATCCACAGGCATGGCGAAGGGAAATGAGGTTCTTGAAAGTCTCAGGGGTCAGGGAGGGATATTCATGTGTGTGTTTGTGTGTGTGTGTGTTGGGGGGAGAGCGAGAGAGCGCGCGCTCTCACAGCGGGCAGGAGCCTTCTGACTTCCACTCCTGTTGGAGCCACACTGAAAACCTGGCTCCATCACCAAGGTGAGCGGCCTTGGGCAAGTCAAGTCACCCTACATCTTGGGACTCTAGTGCCTCCATCTGTAAACTGGGCACAGCCTCACTTCCCACCTCACAGGGCCACTGGTGTAATCAATGGGTTCATACGCCTTAGTGTGATGCTGGCACATAATGATTATTAGGCCTAAAATCTCCTCTTGACCTGCAAGAGCTGAAACCAAGACAGCCCACATGCCAATTCATTGAGGAAGTCCTTCCTGATGCCCAGGCCTGCAGACATCTCCCACAACAGGCATAGCAGTCATCAGGAAGGGAGAGGGAAGCGAATATTAACTGAACACCTACTACGTGCCAGGCCCCCTACTAGCTGCTTTCTGTCACCCATATTTATTCCATTTCATACTCACTTTGACCCACGCTCTGTTTTTCTATACATACTTGTCTCTACTTTTTCTCTGTGGTCTGGAATTATAATTGTAGGTAAGCCTCAGGTTTAAAAAATAATTTTAATAAGTTATTTTATGAAACCAAATATTTCCAAAATATCATTTCTATATGGAATCAATATAGAAATATATTCAAGAGAGACTTTACACTCTTTCTTTTGGGTGTTAAGTTTTCCAACATCTCGTATGTTATTATGAAACACATCTCCGTTCAGACAAGCCAAGAGCCAGGGAGGCCAGTACCGGCCTGGAAAGTTCCGTGGCGAGGACAGCGGCATGTCACCATCAAGGCATGATCTGGGGATTTTTGGCCATTTCGATGCCCTGAAAATTCTGTAAGTTGAAACGGTGCTGCCCAAGTCATGGGTTGAACTGTCCCTCAACGAGAGGTGCTGAAGCCCTAACCCCTGGCACCTGTGAAGGTGACCTTATCTGGTTGGAAGTAGGGTTTTGCAGATGCCCTCATGTTAAGGTGAGGTCAGACTCGATTAGAGTGGGCCCTAAAGCCAAGCACCAGTGTCCTTATAAGAGGAGAAGAGACACAGGGACTCACAGGAGGAGACCACGTGGCCAGAGAGGCCGAGACCGGAGTGCTGCACGGACAAACCAAAGGTTGCCAAGAAGTGCTGACAACCCGAGAAGCTAAGAGAAAAGCATGGGCCAGATCCCCCCGGGAGCCTCAGAGCCAGCACAGCCCCAACAACACCTGGGTTTCAGTTTGAACCCGGGCCTCCAGAACCTGGGAGAATAAATTTCTGTTGTTCTAAGCTGCCCGGTTTATGGTGCTTTGTGCTGGCAGCCCCATGAAACGAATTCAGCCCACGGGGAACTTATATCATTGAAGTTGGCTTTTTCTAAAGAGATGGTGCTGTGATGGCAGCTTCCCTTCATGGCTCAACTGTTCCTACAGATGACTCAAGTTCTACAAGTTCATCAACTATAAATGAGGCCTGTGGGGAGGAGAGAGAGAGAGAGAGAGAGACAGAGAGACAGAGAGAGAGACAGAGAGAGAGAGAGAGAGACGTCTACTGGCTGCCTCATGCACATACCCTGACCAGGGCTGGGGGGGTCAAACCCACAACTGAGGTACGTGCCCTTGTCTGGGAATCGAACCTGAGACCCTTCCATCTGCAGGCCAACGCTCCAACCACTGAGCCAAACCAGCCAGGGCATCGGACATTTCATTAGAACCACTATTATTATTATCATTTTGTTTTTACAGAAATAAATAAAGGTGAAGAGATCTCTTTGTCAGAAGCCTGGAATTCGTGAGGTCTCTTTCCGGGTGGTGTAGGAGACCACTGGCTAGAATGGTGTGTGAGCTACCAGGCAAAGAAACTGGATTTTGGTGGGTTTGCTGGTCGCAAGCTTGGTCCCAGGAGACCAAGTCACTGGTCTGCGTTCTGAATCTGTTTAGAAAGCTGAACGTCACCTGCTTTCTTAATAGGTGCCGTAGGACACCGTCAGGTCTCATTCAGTCTGACAGCTCCTACTTCAGTGTCTCGCCGTCCCTTTACCGCACGTTAATCAAATGCCAGCCTGAACTCTGGGTTCTCCAAGCAGCGAGTTTTCTTATATCAGCCACACATTCAAGAGCAGGGTCTCCCACAGACAAGCCCTCTGTGAGTATCTCCCATGGTTTCCTGCATCGCCCCCTTCTACGAGCTGAACTGTGTCCCACCAAATCCCCATGTGGAAGTCCTAACCCCCAGGACCTCACCAGGGGACTGTACTTGGAGACAAGGCCGTTAAAGAGGTAATTATATTAACATGAAGTCATTAGGCTGGGCCCTAATCCAGTATGACTGGTGCTCCTATAAGAAGAGATTAGGACACACACACACAGGGGGAAAAGGACCGTCTTCAAGCCCAGGAGAGCGGCCTCAGAAGAAACCAATCCTGCTGATGCCTTCGTCTCAGTCCTCCAGCCTCCAACACTGTGAGACAGTAAGTACCTGCTGTTTAAACCGCCCAGCCCGTGCTAGTTTATGATGTGGCCCTAGAGAACGAATGAACTCTCCCGTTCCACATAAAGCCCAGTTTAGAAATGCCTCCTTCATGAAACTTTCTTTGCTTTTCCACCAGATTCCTCCCTGTCCTGTTTAGCCATGAGATCCCTTCTAATTAGTCTTCATTGCTTTTACATAACTTGAAGCTTACCTAATTACTCTTCTGATTTCAAAAGCAATGCATGTCACTAATGCGTACATTCCAGAAAAATAACACAAAATGATGAAAATCCCGCCTAGTCCTCCAATTTCAACACCTTCCTCTTGTGGATGAGAAAGGGTGCTGAAATAATTCTAACCAAACGCCACCTCACGGGTGGTCCGACCATAAACTCCTACCTGGACAGATCATACCCCAGGCCTTTAGCTTTGGGTAAAGGTTCATCTGCCTTAAGCAAGCCCTGCCCCTTGTTCCTGTGTCTCTAGGTCAGTGGTTCTCAACCTTCCTAATGCCGCGACCCTTTAATACAGTTCCTCATGTTGTGGTGACCCCCAATTTCATTGTGACAAACTGAACATAATTAAAGCATAGTGATTAATCACAAAAACAATATGTAATTATATATGTGCTTTCCAATGGTCTTAGGCGACCCCTGTGAAAGGGTCGTTTGACCCCCAAAGGGGTTGCGACCCACAGGTTGAGGACTGCTGCTCTAGGTTAACAGACCTTTGAAATACATCTTTCTCAGACCCCTCAGAGGCACAACCACCCTTAAAGGAGCACATGACCTTGTTAACTATCCTGTAATCCAAATGCCTGCCTTGCTTTCTTTTCTTTAAAAAAAAAAAATTTTTTTTAAGTTTTCTTAAAATTGATTTCAGAGAGAGGAAGGGAGAGGGAGAGAGAGAGAGAGAGAACCATCAATGATAAGAGAGAATCACTGATCAGCTGCCTCCTGTACACCCCACACTGGGGATCGAGCCCACGACCTGGGCAGGTGCCCTGATTTGGAATCGAACCATGATCTCCTGGTTCATGGGTCGACACTCAATCACTGAGCGTCACTGGCTGGGCCCCGCCTTGCTTTCTCTCACCTTCATGTAATCTTCCTTACTTTCCCTCCTTAATCTCAAATATATAAAAGAAGCTGTAAACTGCCATTCTGCAGAGCATTGGAGGTCTTGCTTCCTGGCAATGTCATCAGTTTGTCTCAGCTAAACTCATAAAAATTCTCTACGACTTTGGACGTTTCTTACATGAATACACTCCTTACTATTGTCTTTAAAATGGGAACATACATTTTACATAATGTTGTGTCACCTGCTTTTTACACTAATAAATGTATTTCAAAATCTTTCCATGCCAGTAGCAACCACATTCTTTTTCTTGGCTGTATTGTATTCCACTGCATGTAAACATTATATCATTAACTATCTTCCCATTTTTTGGGCTCATGTGCTGCTTCTGGTTTTTACTTTTTGAACACCAGAAACAATTTTGCTGAGAGGAAACTGTGCATAGATATTTTTTAAACATTTTTTAATTTTTAAACATATTTTTATTGATTTCAGAGAGGAAGGGAGAGGGAGAGATGGAAACATCAATGATGAGAGAGAATCATTGATTGGCTGCCTCCCGCACACCCCCTGCACGACATGGGCATATGACCTGACTGGGAATTGAACCGTGACCTCCTGGTTCATACGTCGATGCTCAACCACTGAGCCATACCAGCCAGGCCTGTACATAGATCTTTTGCATACATGAAGATATGCTTTGAAGTGGAAATGCTAGGTCAAAGAACATAAACATCTAGAATTAAATAATTCCAAATTATTTAAATAATGCCAAACCGTATACTGCAAATTATACTCCTGCCAGTGGCATAAGACAATGTCCACCTCCTCACATCCTTGCTGACATCAGGTAGTACCATTTTCATCTTTTTTCAAATGACTGATGAAAAATAACATCTCCCTATTACTTAAGCCCAGGTAGCTAATCTGGTTCATAGAGGAGATCTTGATTTGGGGACTCCATTTTTTTTTTTCAGTGCTTGGCATTTAATAAATGTGGTATGAACAAAAAAGATTACCTATTTTTTTAAAAAAAATCAGATTAAAAAAAAAATGGAGGCAACCTAATTGGGAAAACACAGAGGACAGACATAACCAATCAAATGCAATGAGCACTGATGGAGCTCTAGTCCTGGAACTCGCTGGAAGGAGAGACAGATGTACCCACAAGTGAAGAGAACTAGTTCATCATTAAGGGGAAGGGTGTTGTGGCGAGAGATTACAAATGCAAATGAAAACAAGCGTGAAGGTATCATTATAAACTGACTTCACCGGGGAAGGAAATGAAGCGGGGAATACGCCACGGCTGGGGTGGGGGATCCGTGAATGGGGTGCTCGGCAGGTTTATAAATGGGTTCAGTGTGTTTTTGAAACTCAGAAGCGCTCTGTGAATAATGAGTTGAAAGGCTGTTAATATCTTTGATCCTATAATTATCCCCAAGGAAACACGCCCAAAGGGAGGGGGGAGTAATTGTACATAAATGTTCACAGCAGTGCTCCTCGTAAGGGCAAACATTGGAAACAGCTCAAATACCATACAATAGAGCCATGGCTCAGCAACTCTGGCGCAACCACCCTCATGGAGTATGAGGCCGCAGTGGAAATTCCGTCAAAACTCAACAGTACGGGGATAAACCAGGGCTGAGTGAAAAAAGTATAAAATAGTCGGTGCCAGTGGATTAGAAACGTGGGTATATTAAGTTCTCTCCTTTCCTTCTTCTCTCCCTCCTTCTCCCATCCTTTCTTCCTCTGTTCCAGCCACACAGTTCCCCCGTCAGCCTCGACGCTTTCTTCCTTTTGCGTCTTGTGTTAGCTCCGCTGCCTCAATGCTCTCCCCCCATCTTGTTCATCCTTGGAATTTTAAAAACCCATTTCAAAAACTAAGATATTCTCCCTGGCGAAGGTCAAAAGCAACAGAGTCTCAATCAAGAGGGGTAAGCAGGAAAAGGGTAGGTGTCCCCTCCCACTCCAAACTCTGCCCTTTGAGATAACCAACGACAACGGTCTAAGCGCAGCCTTCCACATGCTTCTCTCTGCTTTCACTGCCATGGTGAACCCCTATCCAGTCTTCAGTTCTCAATTCAATGTCACCTCCTCCAAGAAGGCTCCCCTGATCACACCTACTCTCCCACGGCAGGCCAAGCCCAGGGCATCTCTGCAGTGTTATTATCATGACAGGCTTATTTGTATAATGATCTGTTTAATATCTATTTCTTGCACTAAATGGCAAGCTCCATGTGGGAGGGGTGTGGTCTCTGTCTTGTTCACAACTGGGCACCTAATAAGAGCAGCCACTTAATGAGTACTAATGAATAATATTATCATAACGAATAATGAACGAATAATAATATTATCATGAAAATGAATGAATAATGTCAGGCAACATTACTGGGAGCTTATTATTTTGCCCGGTGCTGTTCCAAATGCTTACTGTGGATCATTTAGTCTAATCCTCCCAACAATATTAGAAGGCAGGCACTGCTGTTACTCCCATCATCACATCTGCCCAGGACACACAGGTACGAAGGGGCAGAGTCGAGACCCAAACCCAAGCAACCTGGTGCCCAAGCCTTCAGCTCCCACCTCCCGGGCGACCAGCGATAAACAGGAGGGACTCACCCACAGAGGCGATGTCGGCGAGCTGATCCTCCGCCTCCTCGGGGTTGAGCAGGTCTGTCTTGCTCTTCTTTATGG